AGCCGCCCGACGATCAAAGTGGATCAGCTGGATCCGCTGGATCCGGTGACGAATCCCAAACCGGCGCCCTCGCCTGAGACATCCTCACAAAACGGGCCCCGGGGGGGATGCCCAGAGGAGCCCAGAGCGGCCTCTGGCAACGTTTCCGGACGGATCCGCTGGATCCGCTGGATCCGGTGACGAATCCCAAACCGGAGACCCAATGCCCAGAGCCTCCGGCACCGTTTCCGGACGGATCCGCTGGATCCGCTGGATCCGGTGACGAATCCGCAAACCGGCGCCCTCGCCTGAGACATCCTCACAAAACGGGCCCCGGGGGGGATGCCCAGAGGAGCCCAGAGCGGCCTCCGGCACCGTTTCCGGACGGATCCGCTGGATCCGCTGGATCCGCTGGATCCGACGAATCCCAAACCGGCGCCCTCGCCTGAGACATCCTCACAAAACGGGCCCCGGGGGGGATGCCCAGAGGAGCCCAGAGCGGCCTCCGGCACCGTTTCCGGACGGATCCGCTGGATCCGCTGGATCCGCTGGATCCGGTGACGAATCCCAAACCGGCGCCCTCGCCTGAGACATCCTCACAAAACGGGCCCCGGGGGGGATGCCCAGAGGAGCCCAGAGCGGCCTCCGGCACCGTTTCCGGACGGATCCGCTGGATCCGCTGGATCCGGTGACGAATCCCAAACCGGCGCCCTCGCCTGAGACATCCTCACAAAACGGGCCCCGGGGGGGATGCCCAGAGGAGCCCAGAGCGGCCTCCGGCACCGTTTCCGGACGGACGACCTGACTGCATAACACGCCTGGATATGCCGACGGGGGCGAAGGAGGAGGAGGAGGAGGAGGAGGAGGAGGAGGAGGAGGAGGAGGAGGAGGAGGAGGAGGAGGGGGAGGGGGCAGGCGAGGGAGCCCCGGCCCTGGGGGAGGGGCCCTGAGGGAGCCCTGATGGGCTTCCGGCACCATGGAGAGGTCCTGTGGGGCGGCCGCCCCTTCTTCTCTCGGTCGTTTCCCTCTCGCCCAGAAGCGCGCGCCCCTTCTTCTATATATACAGAAACTCCCGATCAACCGCAGAGCGGCGGATGTTATGTGGCCAGGTAAGGCGTCGTACCCCACGGGGTGAGGATGGAGGAGTAATCGGAGGAGGAGCAGGTGAAGGAAGCGTAGGGAGAGGGGGGGGCGGAGCATCAGGAGGAGGAGGAGGAGGAGTTTGTAGTGGAGGGGGATTAGGATGCGGAGGAGGAGGGGGAGGAGGACCAGGAGGAGGAGGAGGAGGAGGGCGAGCAGAAAGGCCAGAGGCCTTTCGGATGCATCTCGGAGTCTCTTCGGATTTTGTTCGATGGCTTCTTCGAGTCCTCTTGGGGCGTCTTGGGGGTCTCGCGGCAGTTCGGCGGGCCTCTTGAGGCGTCTCGGGTGCCTGCCTCTGGGTGGACCCGTGGAGCCTCTTGTGGGTCTCTTGGGAGCCTCTTGGGAGCACTTGTGGAGCATCGTGGGAGCCTCTTGGGGCCTCCTGGGCACCTCTTTGGGCCGTCGCACTTTTGGGAGCCTCGGGGGCCATCTTGGGTCCATCTTGGAAGAGATTGATCAAGGAGGGGGGCTCCTGACTTGGGGCTCCCCCTAGGAGGCCAGCATGCCGCTATAACCCTTGTAACATTGACGATTTTGGCCTTCTCGCCGAGGCCTCTTGGGGCGTCTTGGGTGCCTCTGGGGGGGGGGCTCTGGGGGCCTCTTTGGGGGGTCTCTTGGGAGCCTCTCGGGGGCATCTTGGGGGCATCTTGGAGCCTCCTGAGCACTTCTTGGGGCAGGCCGTGCTCAATGGCCCCCCCCCCCTCAGGGGGCACAGATGTTGCCAACAATTCAGTACATGCAATGGTTTTGGTATCCTCGCCGAGGCCATCTTGGACGCTCCAACGCCCTACGAACGGCCCCGTCCAAACCCAGGGGGACGGGGTAAGGTGAGGAGTAAACCGCTCCCCGAAGGGGCAGATGGAAGATGGAAGAGGAAACTCCCCAAACCACTGACGCCTTAAAGGGCTGGTGGTGTCGAGAGCTGCGAGCCGGCAGGAGGGGCAAATAATGACATCGGGCGTCTGGGCATTGATCGTTAGGCACTCGACACAGGGACGCTCCAGACACGGCCGCACTCGGGGTCTACGGAAGGTGGCGGAAGGCACGCAGATGCAAAACACTGACGGCTCCGCCGTCAGAAGCTTGGCAAAGGCGGGCGAAAGGAAGGGGTGACCCGCCGTGGAGGTTAACGCCTGGACAGGGGCCGGCAATGTGGTGTTCAGGATGCAACTCTCTGAAGGTTCCACTCAGCGTCGGCGCTGGTACATCCGTTGTCGAGAACCGGCTGGGTCTGGTCAAATCCGGCTTCATCCGAAGAAACAGAAACGCTATAAAAATAAACGTTCGACGCTCCGCGCGGATTTCTTGGATCTGCGCTTGGCCCCCCTGGCGGCGCTTCCGTCGCCGCACTTGGCGCGCTCCGTGCGCCAGGGAGGGGGCCCCAGCGCAGATCCAAGACTTCCGCGCGGAGCGCCGAACGTTTATGTTCATGCCGTTTTTTTCTTCATCGTGCCTGAACGTGGTTCTTGGGGAGGAAGATTCCAGGCAGGTTACATCCCTTGTCGCCATGGCTGCATTCGCAAACTCGTCGCTCCAGGTCGGTCCTCCTTCCGCCCGTGTCCGAGGCGGGGCATCAAGTGTCGGCATTCGCTGCCGAGGCAGTCTCGCTTGCTCCCGCGGGGGCTCGCAGGGGCCCTCTGAGGTTCCCCTCTCCTGTTGCTCGCAGGCGGCGTCTCTGTGGCGCCAGGGGTCCCAGGGCTCCCGTGGTGGTTCGCAGGGGTACTCTGAGGGCCCCGTCGCAGTTGAGGTGGCGCCTCGGTGCCGCCCGTGGTGCCCCAAGAGGGTGCTTGGCAAGACATTGCGTCGTCTGCAGGCCGTGGGCTTGTTGCTGGCGTCGCCAGCGTCCCCGCCCTCCCTCCCTGGTGGGTCTGGTGCGTCGGCCAGCGGGGTCTCGAGTTTTCTGTGATGGTCTCTCGAGCGCCCCAGGCTGGCCGCACCGAGTGTGTTGCCCAAAGGTCTATGCGGGCGCACTGGACCACCCGGGGGGGAGGCAGTCCACTGGAATCTTCGTCTCTTCAAGGCCCCGTGTCGATTGGCCCTTAGTCCTTCCTGTAAAGATCTTCGAGAAGTTGCCTCCTGATGGAGCCGCGGTGTGATGGTGCTGCTGTGCCGCCGTGCCTCAGTGGCGCGGTGTCGCGGCGTCCCAGGCTGGACCACTTGCTGACCGCTTGGCGCGTCCCAGAGAGGGCCTCGCCATGGAGGGGGAGAAGGAGTCGGAATCTCTTCGTCGGCGGAAGGCGGCGGAAGTAAAACGGGGGCTGCTCCGCTGGCGGAAGCAGGCGGAAGGCCAGCGGAAGTGTTCGGAAGCGAGAGATGCGCCCCAAAGAGATGACAGCGGTCTCGGGTTCAGGGTGTTCGGAACCCACCATTTGGGGATGCATGGCGCATTTTCCTGGAGCCGATTGGAATCTCAGAGTGCGCGAATTGTCGCCGGGATGTAGGCAAGTCGTGAACAGTTTGTGAAGTTGCCGTGTTTGAGTTCTGCATCTGCATCAAGATCGGTACGAGCGTGGATCAGCTATTCGCAGTTTTGATCCAGTTGTGAATACAGTGTGAGTTAAGTTCGCTTGGTGTCGAGGGCGCGCGCTTGTGGGGCGATTGTGAATGAATAGTGGGTCTACTGCGAGGTGATTGAGATCAAGTGATCAGGCAGGCGTGTACCAGTCGTGAACCCATCCTGGACGCGTCTTTGGACGGAACAACACTTGGGTCGGTTATGAGACATCCGCAGACATTTCGCATACATTGCGCATTCGTTCCCAAGCAATTCAGAGTCGATTGCATCTTGAATCCGTGAATGAATTGAATCGCTGAGGTAGTGTTGGATGGATGGATGCATGCACTGACTGATAGAGGAATGCGGTCCTAAATGCGCGAAGCACATGCGAAACCATTCTTATCCACAATCTCCCCATCGGGGGCAGGCTTGCACATTAACCAGGTGACCTGTGCGCTTCCTCATCATTCCTCTCTGCTCCTCAGTGTTCCAGGAGCCGGCAATTTACACTGCGCGCGGCAATCAGCACATGATGTGGTGAACACCCGTCACACGTTCGCTTTGGATTTAGATCGAGTGCGCGATTGGCCGTCGCGGCCTCGTGCACTTCTAGATCGATTCATGATTCGACCGGCTTCGCGTTCGACGTGTCAAAGTGTCGAGAGTTGGTGACCTGCCGTCTGTGTGCGGACAGTGGGCCTAGCTGTTCACGCAGCATTTGCTTAAGCAGAAGACTTGCATAGGGTATGTAGTATCCTCTAGATTAGCAACAGCGTCATTCCACTACCTATTACCTGCCAGGGAACACGTGTGCGTGTTTTCACCTCTGCGCTTAGGCCTGGTTGGTTTTGAAGTCGGCGGGCCAAGGTTCAGGGCCAGGTCCCACTGTAACCATTTCGGCCTAAGACATGGGATTGGTGCTGTTCAGGACCACATCTCCCAGGCGTCGTTAGCAACAGCAATGTCTTTGAGCAGAAGTCCACTACCCACTGGCATAGCAATATCCGCGAAAGCATGCAAAGGACTGCATCCCTGGCAGGCACTGGAACAGTCCAAGCATGATCCGCCAGGGCACATGAGAATATACTTCCCGCACTGGGTAGGCCTAGGTCCCTTTGTGATGCTCGGAGAGGCTTTGCGCTTACGTCACAGATCCAGGCGACGTAGATCTGCACTCATGGCGAAAGAAGACAGCCATGAATCAACAGCTGCCCAGTCGGAGCAATACAGCGTATCGAATGGGAGGACCTATTTCAATTTTACGGGTTTCCCTTTCCCATTAGGCCCATTGTTCCAACGTCGCACTTTGAGGACTCGAGTCGGCGACGGCATATGGACTTTTGAGCAGGAGCAGTCCCTTCTGAATGTTTCCGTGAACGTCAGGATGACTGCCATACGGCTCGAGGACGACACTTTGTGGATTCACAACCCCATTGCCCCAACGAAAGAATGTGTTGCTTTGGTGAACGAGTTGGGCTACCCAGTACGATATATTGTACTCGGCAGTGCGCAGTACGAACATAAGGTCTTCGTTGGGCCTTTCTCGCGTCGATGGCCAGAGGCAACGGTTTACACAGTGCCGCAGCAGTGGTCTTGGCCTCTTGATCTGCCGTCCTTGTTCTACGGGATAAATGGTGTTGAGCTGCTGGAGGAGGAGACTGCACCGTGGGCAGCAGAAATAGACCAGCGGCTCTTGGCTCCCAAAGAGCGCTTGGGGCTTGTGGGGTACAGTGGCTCTGAGTGTGCCTTTTTCCATATGAAGTCACAGACGCTTCTTTGCACAGATGCGTTGGTGTTTGTTCCAGAAGAACCCCCAGATGTGCTCGACAAGAGAGAACTGATGGACTTAGGCCGCACGTTTGGTCAATTTTTCTTGGACTTACTCGTTCTCTCGGACTGGCAGGGTTCAGGCGAGTATGTGCGCAATGCTCAGCAGGCCGATTCCAAGTCGAAGCCCAAGACGGAGACTGAGCTGATACGTACTGGCTGGCAGCGCAACGCCTTATGGGCGCTGTTCTTGGGGCCGGACGGGCGCAGCATCATCAACTCAGAGCAGGCCTTCAACGCAATCGCTGGATCATGGATCATAGGACCCGTGTGCTATGCTCTTGTGTACAGCGGTAAATTTCGCCAAGAAGTTGCTGCCTGGGCAGAATCCATGTGCGAATGGGATGTTCAGCAGATCATCCCGTGCCACTTCGCTGGCCCAGTCCGTGGCACGCGCGACGACATCCGACGCGCTTTCGAGGTGCTGAGGCCAGGCGTCAACGTCACCAGGAAGCCGGATCTCGAGCTGCCCTGGCCGTTTCCACGGCCCATTCGGTACCGTCCCGAGGACTTCAAGCTGCTGAGCGACATCACGACCACGCTCCGGGACCTGAACGCCTTATGATTGGAGCGGAGAACAAGGAGGGTACGCTATCGGCCTCTGCCGCGCTGTCCAAGTGGGAGCGCTCAAGCCCAGCTAGAGTGGCCTTCGCGACTACCCAGAGATGAGATCTGCCGTTGCGAGATAAAATGCAGCATCGTAAGAATCGTGAGCGTAGCCCTGGACCCTATCATGCTGCGGCACTTTCTCAAGTCGGATCGATATGTGAAGGTCCCTCCGCCCTCCGCCGCTGGCCGCCGCCCTCCGCCCCTGCCCTCCGCCGTGGACGAGGGCACGGCAGCAGCCCGGGCCGTGGCTGCCTCGATGCGCCCGCGCTGCAAGGCAGCACGGTGCCGTGCTGAAAGACGTCCGTGCCGATGCGTTGCGCGTTGGTTCGGCATCTCGGCCCGCATGTTGGCGAACGCATCGCGTCATAGTCAAAAACCATAACAAGGACGCGCGACTTTGCTCAGGGTACCCTTGCGTCCTTGCTCTTCCTTGCTCTTGCGTCCCTGAGGTTTTCGTCGTCCGCCGCCCCAAAAATCCCAACTTCGGCTTCCAAGGGTCTTGCGTCCTTGCCGCGCGTCCTGATTAGGGTTTTTGACTCTACGTGTGCAGTCTGCGTGTCTCCGCATCAACACGCTGCGCGTTGCGTGTTGCGTATCGTGGCAGCTGCGGCGCAGACCCTCGGAGGCCCGCGCGGCTTCCCTGGATCAGCGCCCCTGGCGCCCCCCCCGCGCGCCAGGGGCGGACCTTCAGAAGCCTACGATTACGGATTCTTGTCGACCCTCTGCTCCGCCTCCGCCTCCGCTCTCCCTCGCAGGCCCACGCCATGCGCCCTCCGCCGCTGGCTGCCGCGGCCTCCACCCTCCGCAGCTGGTCGCGGCCGCCGCCGCCGCCGCCGGCCGCAGCCTCCGCCCTCCTCCGCTGGCCGCAGCCTCCGCCTCCGCGCCTCCACCGCCGGCCCCGCCGCTGGCTCAGCAGCGTCTGCGCCCGCGCGTCCGCTCCCCCGCGCGCGCGGCGGGGTGCACCCGCGCGTCGGGGCGCGGGGGCCTCGGCCAGGGCGCGGCTTACGCTGCGTGCGCGGCGGTCGGGCGGCGCCGCCGCCGCTCCCGTCGCCGCCGCCTTCGTCGTCGTCGCCGCGGCATTCGTCGCCGTCGTCGTTGTTGTCGCCGCCGTCGCCGCCGCCGCCGTCGCCGTCGCTGTCGCTGTCGTCGGCGTCGCCGCCACCGTCGCCGTCGCCGCCGTCGTCGCCGCCTGCGGCGGCTCGGTCCCGAGAAGCCCTGAGGCGTGGGCGGCGGCGGCGACGCCCTGGGAGTCTCTTCCATCCCCTCCACTCCCCTCCACTCCCATCCACTCCACTTCGTGCAATCGCTCCCTCACTTCTTCTCCTCCTCCTGGCCCCCCCCACCCTCTCTCCCCCATCCTCCACTCTTCTAACATCTCATCTCTATTCCCCTCCTCCCCCTCGTCTTCCTCCCCCTCATGCTCCTCCCCATCCCCCTCTCATCATCGCCTTCCCCTCCTCCTTCTCCTCCTCCTCCTCCTCCTCCTCCACTTCCTCCTCCTTCTCTTCCTCCACTCCTCCTTCTCTTCCTCCACCTCCTCCTCCTCCTCCTCCTCCTCCTCCTCCTCCTCCTCCTCCTCCTCCTCCTCCTCCTCCTCCTCCTCCTATTCCTCCTCCTCCTATTCCTCCTCCTCCTCCTCCTCCTCCTCCTCCTCCTCGTCCTCCTCCTCCCCCCCCACACCTGCTGCGCCTCATGCTGCTCGCGATCCTCCTCCTCCTCCTCTCCTGGGGCGAGGGTCGGGGCTGCTGAGGCCCTGCAGTGAGCAGCTCCCGGAGCTTGCTGTCTGGGGGAGGCGAGGCAGGAGGCAGACCCGGGGCCACCGCGAGGGTGCGAAGTCAGCCGCGCTTCGCGCTTCGCTGTGTGGGCGATGTCAGGGCGGGGCGCGAGAGTCCCCCGTCCTGCTCAGGGGCGGGGGGGGGAGGGCGGGGCTGCGCGGGAGCGCGGAGATCCTCGCGCCTCGCGGAGCGCGAGGCGCGGAGAGGGTTGCCCTAAGTCTGAGCAGCTCACGGCGCCTGATGCCTGCGGAGGGCCAGCCAGGGGGGAGGCGGGCCTAGGATCGAGGAGGTGAGGCGGGACGGTTCGAGACCGGCGCACGGACGGGCCGCGCTGGGCAGGCGGACGGTCTCCGCCGCGCGGGCCCCCCCGCCGCAGACCTCCTTCTCCTCAACCTCCACCTCTTCCTCCTCCTCCCCCTCCTCCTTCTCCAGCTCTTCTTCCTCCTCCTCCCCCTCCCCCTCCTCCTTCTCCTCTTCCTCCTCCTCCTCCTCCTCCTCATTCTCCTCGTCCTCCTCTTCCTCCTATTCCTCCTCCTCCTCCTCATCTTCCTCCTCCCGACGATCCCAACAACGACGATCCTCGAACCGGGACGGCGGCAGGCCGCAGGCGGCGACGCCGAGCGCGCCGAGCGGCCGGGCGACTGGCCCAAAATCGAGCGGGTGCCGGGGTTGAGGTGGGCTCGAGGAGGGCGCGGGGAGGAGGGGAGAGGTGGGATGCGGGAGGAGAGCGGGGGCTGGCTCTCCTCTCCGCCCTCGCCTCCTCCCCCCTCCCCGAGGGGCGGAGAGGCGGGAGGAGGGAGCGGGGGAGGCTTCCGGGTCAACCAGCAGGCCTCCCGACGCCCACGTCTCGGGGCAGGGGGGACAGGGGGGGGCCAGCGCGAGGCGGAGCGGGACTGGGAGCCGGGAGAGCGGGGTCGTCGCGCGCTGCGGCGTCGGAAGCCGACGGCGAGAGGCCACCGCGGGCAGGCGTCGGGAGAGGAGGGCCGAGCGCGGCCCGCGGGGGATCCCGAGCTGCGGTCGTGGGTCGGCGGCGGCGGCGGTTTGGCGGCGGCAGCGGAAGCAGCCCACGGCAGCGTCCGCGCTCGGCGGCGGTGTGGCGGCGGCAGCGGCCGCGGGCGGCGGCAGCGGCGGTGACTCAGCGGCGGGGACTCGTCGGCGGTGGCTGTTCGGCGGCGGTTGTCGGCGGAGGGAGGAGGGGAAGCATGGAGGAACGAGAAGGGAAACGCGCACTCGCTGGCCTCACCGAGACGTGCCTTCACCCAGCCGTCGGTCTGCGCGGCATCCTCGTCACGACGGTGGTTTCTGAGGCATGTTGTCCGCTCCTGCCGCCTCCCCCCCCCCCAAACCAAAAAAAAGGTGCGCGCGCGCAGCTCCTGCGGCTGCTCGCGTCCGTGCACGACTCGGCGCCGCCCGGCCGCGCTCGCGGGGGGCCGCCCGAGGGCGACGGATGCCTCCAGCGGCGAGGCGTGCCCCAGGGGCAGCTGTCCCGGCAGGGCTTGCCAGGGCTCCAGCCTGTCGATCCTCGGGGGCGGAAAAGCGGGGGGGGATGACTGGGGGGGGTGGATATCACGGCGGGGGCCATGATAGTTCCCCAGATTTCATGGCGCCTCTTCTTGTTTCATTACGTCCCTGGCCCCCCCGCTGGGCCGCGCACATGCCGCCGGTCATGATTTGCACCCCCCCCCTCTTGGACACCCCCCTCTTGGCCGCTCCCGAGATCTGGTCGGGCGGGTTTTAAGAAGTGCGACCTACATGTGGGGGGAAGGAGGGGGCCCTGTCTTCACCGCCCACGTAGGTCACCGCCCCGGAACACCCGCCCCTGCAGAGCAGCGCGGGGTTTTGTCCGCGGTTCTTCTATCGCGTGAGCAAATCCATATTTTGCGTGTCTTCACCGGCGTATCCAGAAAAGATGCCCAGGCGAGTCGTCAAGAGAATGACCGAGCGCGTTCCACTACTCGCAAATTGCCCACTCGCAACCGTCCGAAAACACACATGGTTAATTACCTCGGTGTATGTAATGGATCGAAAATCCCCTGCGGCGGATCCAGGCCATTTGCGAGTAGTTACTTTGCGAGTCGTGGAACGAGCCTCTCTAGAGAGGGGAAGTGGAGAAACGCGTGGCGAGAGAGGCGAGAGGGGCGGCCAGCAGTCGTCCGCCTGGAGACTTGGGGCCCCTCTGGGAGCCACCCTGCAGCAGTCCTGGGCCCCCTCTTGGAGGGAGCCGCCGGGCTCCCGCGAGGGCTCCCTCGGGGCCCGCTCCGGGACCCTGCAGGCCCTCTTGGGGCCATCCCCGGCAGGCCGTCGGGCAAAGTCAGAAGAGGCGGCAGCGCGGCTGGCGCGCTGCCCCCCTCTGGACCCTGCAAGTCGGGAGGAACGAGAACACTTTTTTGATCTGCGGGGCGAGAGCGAACCGCAGAGGAACGAAAACACACAGACACAATTAATCGCCAATTTCCCGGAAAAGATGGGAAAATATTGGAAGTGGGGGGGAAGAACAACAACCCAGAAAAAATTAGAAACTATTGGAGATCCTGTTATTTGTACCTGTTTATTTGTGTGTGTCCCAGGGCCCCTTCAGCAAGGCCGCGCCTCTTGGAGCCCTCTGGCGAAGCCCGCGGGGCGCTCTTGGGCCCCTCGCGTGGCTGTCTTGGGGCGCCCCTCGGCCGCCTGCCCACGCCCTCATCACCCGCCGCCGCTCGGACGTCCATTTCCCGTGCACGTTTCGGTGTCGTGCGTGTTTTTGTTGTTGCTCGCTGATCCAGGATGGTCCTCGATGGTCCTCGCAGAGAAAAAGTGCACACGTCCGAGCGATGCCAAGATCGTCCTCCCGCCTCCCTCTTTGGCTCGACTCCCCTCAGCCCTTATCCTCGACACCTCTCCTGGCGAGGGCGAGGAGTGCGAGGGCGAGATCGTGCGAGGGGGAGGGGATCGAGGGCCGAGTTACGAGGAGGAGGAGGACGGGGAGCGCGAGGAGGAGCAGGAGGAGGAGGAGGGCGATGAGAGATGGTAAGGACGATTGCGAGGGAGAGCCAGAAAGACAATTGGAAACCATCAGCAACAACCAGAGGAGGAGGAGGAGGAGGAGGAGGAGGAGGAGGAGGAGGAGGAGGAGGAGGAGGAGGAGGAGGAGGAGGAGGAGGAGGCCGGGGAGGAGAAGGGAAGGGGGGGGAAGAGGAGGAGGAGGAGGAGGAGGAGGAGGAGGAGGAGGAGGAGGAGGAGGAGGTTGAGGAGGACGACGACGAGGTAGAGGCGGAGAGGGGGTGGAGCAGACGAAGGAGGAGGATGAGAAGGGCGGGGAGGAGGAGGAGAAGGCGATAAGACCCACCCGAGCTACGATTGACTGCCATCACTTGCTCCATCCCACACCCCCGACGTCGTGATTTTTTCAGAACGTCGATCCCCAGAGGTCTGGACCCTTCCCCGGGAACTGTTTTTCATTCTGAGTCGTTTTGACGGTCCCGAGGCCGGGTAGAGGCTCCGGAGGCCGAAATTTCACAGCGCGAGGGGGTCTGGGATGTTGTAGGGCGGGGGGATGCCGCGCGACCCACATTCGGAAACTGGAACATATACATTACCAGTGGCGGGCTGTTTTTCAATCCCAGAACTTCTTGAGGGTCGAGGACGACGCTGGGGTGGTGTGGTGTATATTTGTTTCCCCGATGTCCCGGGATAACAACGAAAAAATATACACCAGGGCCCCGTATACACCAGGATTCGCTCTCCGGTGCAAATTCCAACGCAGGGCTGGAAGAAGCGTCGGTGTACAGAGTTCGATTCCCTACACATGGCGTGCTCCAGAAGGGGGCCGACGCCCCGCAACGGCAGGCGGAAGCGAGACGCTAACGGGTCCGCACGAGGGCGCGGGAGTCGCCATGGGGGAGCACACACAGAGAAAAAAAAATAAGATGATGCTTGGGTCCTGAGGTTCTTCGCCGTGTGCGGGCCCCAGGACTGGCGGAGAGCGACGCGGGGCGAAGATCTGGTTCTGGGGGGGAGGCCCTGGGGCCCAGGACCCGTTTTCCCGCAGGACCAGCGTTTCGGGCCCCGCGTCGGTGGCACAGTGGCTTTCGACACGGATGGCGGGGGCCGACATGTTTCTCGGTGTGTGTGTGCTGTCACGTGCGCGGGCGCACCTGGCGCACTCTGCGCGTGCCCCGAGCGAGGTGCACCCGCGCGGCTGGGCCATGCGGCACACGTGACGCATGTGGAGCACGTGGCGCGTTTGGCGCGCCAGGACGACGACGATTGGTTGAGCGTCGGACGATGCTCCTGTGAGAGGTTGAGGCATGCCAGTTATCCCTCTCCCTCTCAGTATCTGTGTATTTCCCTCTCTCTCTCTCTTGTTTCTGTTGTTTTTTCTTCTCACTCTCTCTCTCTCTCTCTCTCTCGGCCTCGGCGTACGGATACAAGCGAGAAACAACGATCTAAACCTATTGGTTATTGGTTGCCTTATGTGCTGATGTGCTCTGTCATCTCAAGCTCCATCATCATTCATCATCATCGCTGATCTATTTCGTAGGCCTGACTCAAGGACGTTCAGGAAGCAGGCCGGCATCTAAGGATATTTGCCCTCTTTACGTCGTCGAACCGCTGACAATGATGACGACGATCTGCCAGCAACGACGATGTCGGCCTATGGGAGCTTCCTTCGAGGGCGGACGAGGGCTGCCGCCGCCGCTGTCGCCGTTCTCGCCGTTCTCGCAGTTGTAGCCGTCGTCGTCGTCACCGCAGCCGTCGTCGTCGTCATCGTCGTCGTCATCGTCGTCATCGTCGTCGTCGTGTTTGTCGTCGTATTCTTTTCGTCGTCGTTTTTGTCGTCGTCGTATTCGTCGTCGTCGTCGTGATTGTCGTCGTCGTCGTCGACGACGTCGTCGTCGTCACCGCAGCCGTCGTCGTCGTCGTCGTCGTCGTCGTCGTCGTCGTCATCGTCGTCGTAGTCGTCGCCGTCGTCGTCGTCGTCGTCGTCGTCGTCGTCGTCGTCGTCGTCGTCGCCGGCCTCCGGCGCTCAGGTGCAGGAGGTGCGCGCGCCTCGCAGGGGCAGCGCCGCCCTGAGAGCGGCGCTCCAGCCGCGGAGGACCGCGCCCCCTGCCTCCTGCTAGCCGTTCTCGGCTGCCCCGAGGGGCGAGCGAAGGGCACGTCGGCAACTCTGTGCCCTCTCGCGGTCTGGACTTCCCGGGGCGCCGCCCCAGAGCCCAGGAGAGGCCAAGCACGCCCAGGAGGAGGAGGAGGAGGAGGAGGAGGAGGAGGAGGAGGAGGAGGAGGAGGAGGAGGAGGAGGAGGAGGAGGGGGAGGAGGAGGAGGAGGAGGAGGAGGAGGAGGAGGAGGAGGAGGAGGAGGAGGAGCAGGGGGAGCAGGGGGAGGAGGAGGAGGAGGAGGAGGAGGAGGAGGAGGAGGAGGAGGAGGAGGAGGAGCGCAGAGACCGTACTGGACCACGAGCGACGAGCATGTCCATGCCCGTGCCCTCGCGGCGTGGGTTCCGCGGCGTGGTCCCGTGGCTGCGCGTGCCAGGGGCGCGTTCCTCGCGGGGCGTCCCCGCAGAGCCGCCCTGTGTCTATGTGAGGTCGCGTCCGAGGAGTCCGGGCCCACGAGGGGGTGCCGCCGCCGAGTGCCGCCGGCCGTTCGAAGCTCGAGGAGGACGGAGGGCCACCTTCGGGGGACCATTGAGCATTTGAGCATTTGAGAAGTTCAAGGGCGTGTTTTCCACTCTTCTGGAGGCCTCTCGAGGCCTCCGGAGGTTGGGAACTACCAGCTACCCGGACCTCTGGGGACCTCCCGGGAGGAGTCTCCGCAGACCTCCAGAGGCGGACGATCGAGGATCGACCCTTCTCCTCTTCCTTTTGCCTTTCCGTTGACGTTTTGGCTCCCAGCCCCCAAGGGGCCCGAGAGCCGTCGCGGGACTGGCCAGGCAGGCTGAGCTTTACCATCGCCATGCGCGCGGTGAAGGCGGCAAAGGAGGAGGCGGAGGAGGCAGGGGCAGCGCCGGACGACCCGCCGTTCACGCGGGAGGAGATTTCGTTGTTTGTTGTTCATTATTCTTCTCGCACGTCAAATGATCAACCTCATTATTATTATTCCCTTCTTCTTCTTCTTTTTCTTATTATTCTTATTATTATTATTCTCTCTCTGTCTCTTCTTTTCACTCATGCATATTTCGCGCGGGAGGAGTTTGACAAGTTGTTGGCCGAGAACAAGACGCTGAAGGCCGAGAACGCTAAGCTGAAGGAGTCCAAGACGGTCGCGGGCGGCAAGGGTGTGCCCGCCGTGGGGCTTGGCGATGAGCTCCAGGCGCTGCCCACGGAAAAGTACGAGGGATTTTTTGAGCCCAACGACAAGGGCCGGGTGTCCTCGGAGCCGTACATCGGCGACGATGGCAAGCAGAGATTCAAGGTCACGTGGTACTCAGAGGAGCAAGCGGTACTGATACCGCTACAATGGCCTCCTTTTCGCCTATTTGGGCCTCCCAGGAGGCCCTCGTCGCCACTGTTGGATCGACTCGAGGACTTTCTGGTCAGAACGCACCATGGGAGAGGTCCATGGAGTAGCGGTATCGGTATCTTTTTGGTTTTCCCAGGTACCGCACTGGGAAGACTTCGGTCCGGGTCGCACATACTTGGCCGAATGGTTTCAAGATAGTTGGGAAGGCGGGCCAGCCCGCCTTCGGGGACGAACTGATGGTGTTGCCCCTGGAGAAGTTCGAGGGCTACTTCGAACCCGGCGACAAGGGCCGGGTCTCCTCCGAGCCTTTCGTTGACGAGGCAGACGGAAAGATCAAGTTTAAGGTCACGTGGTACCGAACTGGCAAGACCTCCCAGAGGGTCGCAGACGGATGGATGTCTGGATTCAGGCTGGTCGGCAAGGCGCGCCAGCCCGAGAAGGGCGACGAGCTCAGTTGCCTCGATGCGCCCGTTTTGAAACGTAACACGTCCCGTGTTCAAGACGTGCCTATCAACATGTTGCGTGTTGGCTCCACGTACTGGACCACGTTTTGGCGAACGTATCGCGTCGGACCTACGTTTTCAGTCGACGTGCTGAGCCTCCGTATCAATACGATGCGTGTTGGGTGTTGCGCATCGGGGCAGCTAAGGTGACGAGCTGCAGGCCCTGCCCCTCGAGAAGTTCGATGGCTACTTCGAGCCTGGGGACAAGGGCAAGGTGTCTTCCGACCACTTTATCGACACGAAGGACGGCAAGCTCAAGTTCAAAATCACGTGGTACCGCACCGGCAAGACCTCGACCCGGGTCGCAGAGGGCTGGATGAGAGGCTTCAGGTTTGCCGACGAGAGCAATACGGAGCACTGCACCGCCGAAAACAGGCAGCAAATGGAGGACGCCGTCAAGGACGTCAAGAATCAGCCGGCGGGCAAGCCGATCGAACTCATAAGCGGCCAGCCAAAGGCGGCGGCCATGGGGCTCTACCACTTCATGAGGGTGAGCGATCCTTTCGCGGAGGACAGCGCGAACAAGATCGAGAAGGAGATCACGCACTTCGTTCATAAGCTCAGGGAGTACGCGATGATCCTGGGCTATCACAGCGACGTGCCTGGACAGAGGGAGCACATCGAGCGCATCTACGGGAAGGACAGCGTCGCCGCGGCCCAGGATGAGATCGACTACTTTAGGAAGGTGGCGCGGCTACCCGACGACACGACCGCTCTGGCCGTCGCGTCGCACGTCGAGGAAGAGACCCTCGGGTACATCAAGTACATCTTATACCCGGCGGCGCGCGAGGGGGGGGAAGTGAGAAGGATAAGGCCTTCTCAGAAGTCGGCGGGCGTTCTGAGAAAAAATGTTGTGGCTTCGTGGAAGGCTTAGAAAACTGTTCAAAGTGTCGGGGGGTCATCGAGCCTTCTGAGAAGGCCCGCCACGTCTCACCTCCGCCCCGTGCGCGCCGCCGATATACGAGAAGGCCAGTGAGGTGTTCGTTCCGGGCCCAGACGGCGTGCGCGACAAAGGTCGGGGCCCCATAGGAATCCAGGATTTCATGAATCACAAAACTGTGAGCGAGGCGGAGTTGACCATGGCCCATGTCGTTGCGCTGCGCTTCTACACGACACCAGGGTACAAGTATCTGAATTCACCCTTCCGGAACCAGGACCGGTATTATCACAAAAACAAGCCTCACCCCATGCCCATCACAATGGCGTACATTTCGGAGGGCATCAAAAAGTTGCGCTCCGCATACGCAGTCAAAGTCGAAGAGGGCCAGGCAAGTACTCACATGACACTCTGGCGAGGCCTCAAGAACATGTTCATGCCAGAGGACTTCCTCTTAAATCGGAAGGGCGGCACCGAGCTGGCGCCCATGTCCACCACGACGGACATCCAGGTGGCGGCGCGGTACGCGTGCAGCGACGAGTCAGTCCTGCTGAAGATATCCTTGGACAATTTCATGCAGTACGGGGCGGAGCTTGGCTGGCTCTCGGCCTTCCCTGGCGAGGTGGAGGTGCTCTACCCACCTCTGACCTACCTGCAGCCCACGGGCAAGCCGCCTCAGGTGGTGCAGCTGAGCACGGGCCACAAATTCACTGTGCACGAGGTGACACCAACCATCCCTTGAGTGTTAGGGCTCGTGTTCGTGAGTGTATGAGGTCGGGGTTCGATGAGCATTGCTTGTTGCATTACGGAGCAGGCACTCTTTTTGCATGACCTAATCGAAGAACGATTGGGAAACCAAGCGCGAAGCCTGCGCTCGGCCCGCTGAGCCGCAGTCGCTAGCCCAGACAAGCGCATCGGACACTGCCGATGGCACGCGTCGCGCTGTTCCATACATCTTGGGCCGCGGGGGGAGCACCATGGGGAGGGTGGAGCAGCAGCAGCAGCAGCAGCAGCAGCAGCAGCAGCAGCAGCAGCAGCAGGGGAGTTTGGAAACACTGCGGGGAGGGAGGAGGCGCAGCAGGAAGGCGTGAAGAACTGGGGGGCCCTACCTCGACCTTCACTTCTCTCTGGGCGAGGCCCCCGGCCTGGGTCTTGCGCCAAGGAGGAAAATCCAAGGATGGGCAAAACATAGTCTGGGGACGATTTGTCGTGCTCTTTTTTGAGTATTTGGGGGAACCTCTTGAGAATGTCTTCTTTGTCCTCCGAAATCCGCCTGTGGGAGGACATGCCCGACCTGACCCCAGCTGTCGCCCAGTCCTGGCCGCTACCGCTGCCGCGGCCCTGTTTTCGCAGTCGTCGTTCTCGTGTCCATTTGCGCCCCCTTGCCGCCCTCTGATCTCCCCGCGCTTTTCCGTGTTGCCGTTGCTCTCCTCTCTTTTTCCGTTCTTCTTTGCGCGCCGTCCTTCCCGCGGTTCCCTCGCTGCCGTCGCGCCGTCCTGGGTATGTCTGCTCAGCCCTCGCGTGCCACCACGAAAGTGGATTCCCCTGCCCAGCGCCCGTGGCCAGTTCGGGTCAGGAGCTCGGCCGATATTGTGCAGCGGTGGGGCGCAGATGCTGGCCCCTGGGCCGTGCGCTTTCGACGCCTTCGATGCCCGACCTAATCGTAAGTCGGGCATGTCTCTCGACAGGAGGATCATTCAAAAGTCGTCCACAAATAGCCTGGCGACGATTTTTCGACTACGTTTGACAATTTGTTTGTAATTATGACGGTGTTTCTTTTAGGGAGGACATGCCCGACCTGAACCTGATCCTGGCCTCATCCTACAGGCAGGTCCCCCCAGGATGGGGCAGGGCTGCTCTCCCTCGAGGACGGGCCCCGACCGAGCCCAGAGCGCCCCTTCCTCCTGTGCATGGCCAGCGCTTCCCACCGCGGTCGTCTCGCTTCGCGCTTCGTCTCGGTGGAGAGCGAGGGGGGGGAGGCGGGAAGGGGAGGAGGAGGAGGAGGAGGAGGAGGAGGAGGAGGAGGAGGAGGAGGAGGAGGAGGAGGAGGAGGAGGAGGAGGGGGAGGGGGAGGAGGAGGAGGAGGAGAGGAGGAGGAGGAGGAGGTGGTGGAGGAGGAGGAGGAGGAGGAGAGGCGGCGTGACTTCTCAGAAGCCCCCGCGCCTTTGAAGCGTTCTTGGCGTCCTCGGGGAAGGCCGAGAGAAGACTTCTTGGAAGGCCTGGGGACGTCGGGCCTTCCGAGAAGGCATCCTCCTTCTCACTTCCCCCCCCAGGCTCGCCGCCGATCGTCTTCCGACGGACTGCCGGGAGCTGCAGGGCCCATTTTCGATCCGATCGCTCCGCTTCGATGGCGGCTTGGGCCGGCCCGATCCGATCCGATTCCGATGCGCATCGACGGCCCGATGCGGCCCGAGGCTCGAATGGCGCTCTGGTGCATCCTGGCGCAGCCGCTCCGATTCGATTTCGACTCCGTGCCGACGTGGGGCCGGCAGCGAGGATGACCACATCAGTCTTGTTCTGCTTCATGCGCCAGGGGGTGGCAGACCAGAAACAACATGCCTGCCTTACAGTACAGTCGAGACGCTGGAATTATGAGCACTTCGTGCTCGGGAGGGGATGTGGCCCTTCCCTAGATCAGGATCGGGGAATCCCTTCGTTGCCAAGGTTCGCCGTGGCCAGACAAGCCCATTCGTTCCTTATTCAGCGCTCTCCGTGGCAGCACGATCGCTTGACCACCCTGCCTCCAGCCCGTTGGCTTGACTTTTGCAGTTTCGCTGGCCACCCTGCAGCGCGCCTTGGACCCTGAGCCGGCACGCGTGCGCGACAGGCAGGCCCTGCCGTGTCACACGCAGGGCCCTGCAGGCAGACGCAGAGATCTCCTAGCACGTTAGTTGGCGCCACGTGCTGCTCCCCAAGCGCCTGACGTACCTTGCCGTATCTGATCTTACCTCTGCGCCTTCCCTCTCTGCCTCCTTCTCCTCCTCATCCTCCCCTCAACTGTGAAGAGGACGAGGAAAGTCCCCTTTAAATGCCCATCCACTTCAAGCGATAGTACCCTGAGCCCGTCCAGTGCCAGGGTGGGCTTGCGCCTGCTGGCGCTCGAGGCACAGGTGTCCCCTCGCTGGCCCTGCTGCGCCTCTGCTCTGTTCTCACCCTCTGGCTTCTCGCCCCATTCTCGCCACTGAGCGCTTGGACCTTCCTGCGCTGTAACCGGCCAGGGACGAGGAGGACATTCTGCGTCCCGGGTCCTCAGCATTCTCCCCCTCGCCCCCTCCTCCGCGCCCTCCTTCCCTGCCTCCCGTCCTTCGCAGGTGGGAGGAGGAGGCGGTGGAGGAGGAGGAGGAGAAGGAGGTGGAGGAGGAGGAGGAGGAAAAGGAGGGAGGAGGAGCAGGAGGGAGGAGGGAGGAGGGAGGAGGGAGGAGGGAGGAGGAGGAGGAGAGGAGTCGGAGGAGGTGGATGAGGTGGAGGAGGAGGAGGACGAGGAGGAGGAGGAAGAGGCGGAGGAGGAGAGAGAGGGGGGAGGTAGGAGGAGGAGGAGGAGGAGGAAAAGGAGGAGGAGGAGGAGAGAGGGGGAGGAGGGGGAGGAGGAGGAGGTGGAGGAGGAGGAGGAGGAGGAGGAGAGGAGGAGGAGGAGAAGGAGGAGGAGGAGAGGGAGGATGATGAGGAGGAGGAGGAGGGGAGGAGGAGGAGCGGAGAAGGCGGAGGAGGAGGAAAATATTAACATAATAGAAGACGAAGAAGAAGAGAAGAGGAGGTGGTGGAGGCGGAAAGAGGAGGAGGAGGAGGTGGAGAGGAGGAGGAGGGAGGGAGGAGGAGGAGGAGGAGGGGAGGAGGAGGAGAGGAGGAGGAGGAAGAGGGGGAGGAGAGGGGGTGGAGGAGGAGGGGGGGGGGAAGGGGTGAGGAGGAAAAAGAGGGAGAAGGAGGATGATGAGGAGGAGGGGGGAGGAAGGAGGAGGAGGAGGAGGAGGAGGAGGAAGTGGAGGAGGGAGGAGGAGGAGGAGGAGGAGGAGGAGGAGGATTGGGAGGAGGATGAGGAGGAGGATGAAGATGAGGATGATGATGATGATGAGGAGGATGCTGATGATGATGAGGAGGATGAGGATGAGGATGAGGATGAGGATGAGGATGAGGATGAGCATGAGGATGATGATGATGATGATGATGATGATGATGATGATGATGATGATGATGATGATGATGATGATATTGATGATGCTATTGATGATGCTGATGGTGATGCTGATGGTGATGGTGATGATACTGATGATGATGATGCTGATTTTGATGATGATGTTGATGATGATGATGACGATGCTGATAATGATGATGATGCTGATGATGCTGAGGATGACGATGATGACGATGCTGCTGCTGCTGATGATGATGATGATGCTGATGCTAATGCTGATGGTGATGATGATGCGGGGGATGAGGAGGAGGAGGAGGAGGAGGACGAGGGGGAGGAGGAGGAGGAGGAGGAGGAGGAGGAGGCGGAGGAGGAGGATGTGGAGGAGGAAGATGAGGAGGATGCTGGTGATGATGATGACGATGACGATGATGATGATGATGATGATGATGATGATGATGATGATGATGATGATGATGATGAGAAGAAGGAGGAGGAGGAGGAGGAGGGGGAGAGTGACGATGCTTATGATGGTGATAATGATGCTGCTGATGCTGATGTTGGTGATGCTGATGATGATGGTGATGATGATGAGGGTGATGTGGATGATGATGCTGATGCTGATGATGATGATGCTGCTTATGCTGCTGATGATGATGACGACAACGATGCTGATGATGATGCTGATGATGATGCTGATGATGATGATGCGGATGATGATGATGATGATGATGATGATGCTGATGATGATGATGATGATGAGGATGATGAGGATGATTATGCTGATGATGTCGATGATGGTTGTGGTGACGATGGTGCTGATGATGGTGATGCTGATGCTGAGTATGCTATGATGATGTCGATGACGATGATGGCGATGCTGATGCTGATGATGATGATGGTGATGATGATGCTGATGATGATGATGATGCTGAGGATCATGATTATGATGATGCTGCTGATGATGATGATGCTGCTGATGATGATGATGATGACGATGATGATGGTGATGATGATGATGATGATGATGATGATGGTGGTGGTGATGATGATGATGATGATGATGATGATGATGATGATGATGATGATGATGATGATGAGGCGAAGGAGGAGGAGGAGGTGGAGGAGGAGGAGAAGGAGGGGAAGGAGGAGAAGGGATGATTTGGAGTAGGAGGCGGGAGGAGGAGGAGGAGGAGGAGGGGAGGAGAGGAGGGGGACGAGGAGGGAGGAGGAGGAGGAGGAGGATGAGGGCGAGGAGGAGGAGGAGGAGGGGAAGGAGGTTGAGGATGAGGGGGAGGATGAAGAGGAGGAGGAGGAAGAGGAGGAGGAGGAGGAGGATCGGCCACGCGCAGACAGGGGCAGGGAGAGGGGGGAAGGCTTCTCCGAAGGAGGCTGCTTCTTAGAAGGAGCGGGCCTCACATCTATAGCTAAGGCCCGCGCCTTCTAAGAAGCAGCCTCCTTCTATGAAGCCTCCCCCCTTCCCCTCACTGCGGGCAGCCTGCAGCTGGAGACTCCGCTTCCTCCTCCGCATTCTCCCCCATCGACCGACCCCTGCGCACCCTCCCTACCTGCCTCCTCCTCCTTCGCAGGTGGGAGGAGGAGGAAGAGGAGGAGGAGGAGGAGAAGGAGGAGGAGGAGGGGAACGAGGAGGAGGAGGAGGAGGAGGAGGAGGGGAAGAAGAGGGCGTAGGAGGAGGAGGAGGAGGAGGAAAAGGAGGAGGGGGTGGAGGCAAGCTAGGTGCGCTAGCGTCACACCAGACGTCCTAACCCCTCCTTCCCATCCCTCACCGTGGTTTCGATCTCCGATCGATTCGCACAGTCGGACGTCGAGCAGAGCAATGTTCCCAAGAGGGCACGCGATGGATGAAAAGCATGGCGTAGAAGAGCACGGCAGAGCATAGCATGTCATAGCATTGCGTGCCATTGTGTAGTGAAGCGTTACATCACAAAGCATAGCAACGCAATACATAGCATCTCACAGCGGTGCACAACACAGTATCGCATTGCATGCCGTGGCATGGCACCAGATGACTTGTGGGGTAAGTGGCCCGTCTACGAGAGGACAGGGCCTGTCTGGAATGCCGGCTCCGGGTCCTCCGCAACCGTGCCTGCCCGATGAGGGCGCTTTCGAATGGCGAGTGCCGTCCAGAGGCGTGGGAACGAAGCGTGGCAATGAGGGCGGCGCTGCAGCGGGAGCACAATTTTGGACAAAAACAGAAACGGCCATATTTAATTCACACGTAGGAAACAACACAAGGACATCCTGTGTGGAAAAGAAACTGTATAAAAGACACTACTCGGAAAGGACGGGATACTCTCCGGGCAGAGTTAGGGGAGAGAGGAGGGCAGTATTCAGATTGTGTAAGTGTTTTAGGAGGAGGAATAGGAGGATGCGGAGGAGGTGGAGGAGGGGGAGGAAGCAGAGGAGGAGGATGAGGAGGAGGAGGGGGAGGAGGAGGAGGAGGAGGAGGAGGAGGAGGAGGGGGAGGAGGAGGAAGAGGAGGAGGAGGAGGAGGAGGAGGAAGCTCCGTTTCCTCCTCCGCGTTCTCCCCCCTCGACCCCTCCGCGACGCGACGCCAGGAGGCAGAGGGCCTCCTCTCGTCCCTCGCCCGCGCCCGCTTACGTAGCCCCCCCCTCCAGTCCCGCGGGCCGACGTCGCGGCGACGGCGACGACGGCGGCGACGACGATGACGATGACGACGGCAAGGGTGGCGACGACGGTGACGGCGACGACGGCGACGACGACGGGGACGGTGACGACGACTACGACGGCGACGACGACGATGACGACCGCGGCGACGGCGACGACGACGATGACGGCGACGGCGGCGACGCCGACTACGACAGCGACGTCGACGATGACGACCTCGACGGTGGCGATGACGACTACAACAGCGACGACGACGACGGCGACGACGACGACGACGTCCGACTAAGATACGTTCAACATCTGTCCTCCAGCCCTCTCCGGGTCCGTCCCGGCTAGTTTCTTGGGCCGAGTCCAGCCGTGGCGACGAGAACCTCCAGAAACGCCCGACAATCTCCAAAGCGACAGCGGAGACGGTGACGGCGGTGGCTGCGTCGTCGACGGCCCTGCGCAGGACGATCAACATGCCAGCCTCCCTGTGCGTTGGCTACATGGCCCATGATCAAATGGCGCCGCTCCGCCGCGCCCTGGGGAGGGCAGATACGACCCGACTTTCATACGGTCGGACCGAGGGATAAGATCGAGGTCGGTCAGAGGAGGGTGCCCTAGTGCTCTTCTTGTTTGTTGGATGTTTTTGTGCATCATGGATGAGGGTACCCCCGAATGTCCTTCAGTTTTTGCCGGCGGAGGGCCTCGTGTTCTTGACGGATGTTGTTCTGTCTTAGGTCCGACGTTATGCTACATTTGGCTTAGCTCGCGGGAAGGTCTGGACTCTTCGGGCGTTCTTGGAGGTGTTCGCCGCCACGGAGAGATGGATATATAAAGAATGGCCATGACGGTCCCTGGGAGATGCTTGGGACACTATTTGGAACGCACTTCCGTCGGCCGACGACGACAAAGAAGAGGATGACAAATTCTTCGGGTGGCGGTCGTAAGTGTCTTTGAGGGGTCCTGGGCGAAAAGGTCCCATGTCTCGCTGGGCTGGCCTTGGCTGTTGCGATCTCCAGCTCGCAGCCAATATGCGGCGTCGGCTGCACAAAACGTACGACTGCGAGTCATCGAATTCGGGCGTGCAAGCTCCAACGCAAGGGACTGGCTCATGAAGGAGGGTCATCGAGGGACCCGCAAAGCTCGATGATCCAGGGACCATGGTGGAGCAGAGTGGAAAACCCCGCGGCCGGGACGTATCTGCAAAACAGGCTAACCTCGGTCCCAACTCTTGTGCGACCCGGCGACCCGCACGGGTCGTAGCCGATAGGGCCCGCTGGCCCCAGCTGCTGCGACTTCCCGACCGCCGCCCCTACGGGGTCCAGGCTCCTGCTGGGGCGCATATCTCTTTGTGTTCGTGGGCTGCTGAAGAGGTGCCTCTGGCCCAGGGTACTCCCCAGCTTTTCGCTCATGAGAAGGAGGAGAAGGAGGAGGAGGAGGAGGAGGAGGAGGAGGAAGAGGAGGCGGAAGAGGCGGAGGAGGAGGTCGACGACGACGACGACGGGGAGGAGAAGGTCGACGACGACGGGGAGACGAGAGAGGAGGAGGAGGCCGCGCTTCTTCGCCGCCCTCGGCCTTCAGAGGCCGCACTCTCGGGCGTCGCGGGAGACGCGGCCTCTGTGCGGAGAGCCTGCCCTGTGGTCGGGTGTTGCTAAAGGTGCCCCCGGCCCAAGGTGCCCCCAGCTTGTCGCTCGAGGTTGGAGCCCCACGGGGTGCTCTGGGCCTCGTGAGGGGGTGCCCTGGGAGCCGTTAGGGCCTCCCTGGGAATCCTGGGGGCGGCACCCTGGGCCAGGAACACTTTCCAGCAGCACCCGATGTGTTGGATCCACTCCAGCAGTCGTCTCGAGATCTTCGGGTTGTCCATCAGCTGCTCCTCGTCGACCGCCTTCCCCGAGAAGTCCGAGTCGTCCCGAGCGGCCACTCCGCATGAACATCGCGTCGACAATGAAAGCCCCTCGCCCCCCCAGACCCCCTTCGGCTCGTGAGGAAACAACAAGCACGACACACATTGGTCGTTTGCTTGTGTGCATGTTTCCCTTCTTCGGGGTCTCACTTGAAAAAACAACCACGCATTGTAAAAGACGCTCGGGGTAAACGGCCAGGGAAGAAGTCGGAACTTCGGCGGGTCCACGCTGCGACGAATCACGCTGTCGGAGGTCCTATGCTGCGCTAGGGCTCTCTGGCGGAGCTCACGGGGAAGGCCATGGCCCCCCAGGACGTCCAGATGTCCCTCAATTGCTTCCATGAGCCTCCAGGGGCTCTCGAGGGCCCTCGAGACTATTTTGCACCCTCTGGGCCCTAACGCGCCTTCTACCGCCCCCCCCCTCCCAGAGCGTCCCCGGCACTGCCGCAGTGCGTCCGGCACCATAGCTTGCGGTGCAGGATCCGCACCGCGGGGGGGAGGGCGGGGCGTTGCGTTATCCCCCCACCCGCTCCCCCCCCTCCCCCCCTCATCACGCCCGCCATCGCCGCGAATAAAAAGGGATGCTCTCCTCTGGAGAGGTCAGCCTTCAGGCACCTCCCAGTGGATTCCAAGGCCTGAGCTCAGTGGTCCAAGGGCTTCACGGAGGGGCGTACGCGCGGTTTCCATTGGACTGGGAAGGCCCACTGGACGCGTCCAACGGCGCCCGTCGGCCTCTAGGCGCGGCCGCGGGGGGGCCCCGCGGGCCCAACCGAGAGAAGTTTCCAGGAGCGTCCAGGGGCCCCACCTTAGAGCCTCTTGGTCTTCCAGTGGCCTCCAAGGAGCCTTTAGGTCTATCTCATGGTAGTTGGACTTGTTGGGCGGGGCATGTAGTCATGGGGCGAAGGTCTCCTTTAGCACGATTCCTTTCGCAAAGAGAAGGAACAGGGGACCAAGGAGAAGTCAACCCAAGCTGGCTCTCTCGTGTGATACCTGCCAAACTGCACTTCCCCAGGGACGTTCCCAGTGCAGGGGGGCCGAGCATCCAGCAGGGGTGTTGAGATGGAGCCGCGTCATGAAAAACGTAGGACTGCGTTCACAAGTTGTGGCCAATGCGAAGTCGTGATGCGAGGAATCTGCCTCGCCTTGACGGCAGAGCATCAGCTGACCTATTATCCTAAACACATGTGGGCATTGGCCGCAGAAGACGCCGATCGGCGTCGATGTAGCGTCGATTCGCAGGAGCCCGCAGGGTGGTCCGGGAGGCTCCCAGGAGGAGAAGGAGGAGGAGGAGGAAGAGGAGGAGGAGGAGGAGGAGGAGGAAGGGGATGATGATGATGATGATGATGATGATGATGATGATGATGATGATGATGATGATGATGATGATGATGATGATGATGAGGAGGAGGAGGAGGAGGAGAAGGAGGAGGAGGAGGAGGCAGCCATCGAGCCGAGAGAAGCCTCCCACGGCACCCGCCCGCGCTCCGCGCTCCGCCGCGGGTCCGTGCGCTGCTGGGTGCACTGCAGGCTCGCCGGAGCACGGCCACGAGGAGGGTGATGGCCAGGGGGGGGCGGATATCCTCGCGGGGGCCATGCCGTCCCCAGATTTCATGACGCCTCTTCTTACATTCCAGTGCGTGCCAGGCACCCCCCCTGGGACGCGCACGTGCCGCCGGCCATGAGCTGCGCCCCCCCCCCTCTTGGATGCCTCCCTCTTGGCCGCCCCCGAGGAGAGAGAAGCAAGTCTTGCGGGGTTGCCGATCGGCGCGGGCCCTCGCAGCCCCCTTCCCCCCATGGAGTAGATCTTGGCTGTTTCTGGCAGAAAGGCATCAAGCACAGGTCCGAAGCCAGACCCCCCCCCCTCCTCCCCTTCCGCCCAATGTCGAAACGCCGAATAAGAATACGCTCTCCAATTCAACACGTGCCATCCCCACGGGCTGGAGCGAAGACAAGTTGACGTCGGGAGCACCCGCTCAGCATTTGCCTCGAGCGGGCTGTAGAGTTCGCTGATTATTGAGCGCGGCCTCCATTTCCACGTGGAAGAGACTACCCCGAGAGGGTCTTCAGGACGATGCATGGGCGACGCGGCGCGATCCTCCGACCCCTTTAGCTCTGGCCATTTCTGCGCCGCCTGGACGCTTCGGGAGAGGGTCTCCTGGAGACTCCTGGATGCCCCCGAGAGAGACCTGAGGGCCTCCCGAGGGGTAAGGATCGCAGAAGGCTCTTAACAGCCCTGATCCTCCTCGCCTCTGGTGGCGGTGATCCGGGCTGTGCTGCTCGTGGTCCATGCTCTCAGGCCATATCTCAGGTGTTCTGTGATAGGCCATGCCCCCCATTTAGTACACCTTAGGCGATGCTTAAGAAAACCTAAGTTTTCGGCCAGAGTCTCGATTATTCTTAATGTTTCAATGGGAATCCCAAGATTTAAATGGGCATTCTGGGTTTTTATTTAAATTCTGAGACTAACAATTTCTTAACCCATGATTTCTTAAGCATTTCGCAGGGTGTAGGCCATGCCCCCCATTTAGTAGACCCAGCAACCCCAGCGCTCATATGCGGATAGGAGCACGCTGCAGATCCGCGGGGGGCTGGTCGCAGAACGCCCGATCGACCGCCGAAGACCGCCGATGGGAGGGCCGATGGTTCCTCCTCCTCCTCCTCCTCCTCCTCCTCCTCCTCCTGAAAGAGGGTGCCATCGCTGACATCGTGGCGTCGTGTGACGTGGCGTCGTGTGAACCCTGAGATCCTGTTGCCTCAATGTTTTCGAGCTCCGGGACCCGCGCAGATCGATCCCCGCAGCCTCGAGAAGCGACGCAGAGAGCCGGGGATCCGAGGAACCGGTCGCGATTGTTTGCGATGCTGCATTTGTTCTGTCACGTCGGCTCTCAGGGCCACCGACCTCGGGAGGTGGTCGGCCATCTTCGGCCTCAGGGGGGCACTCACCAGTCCCAGGGAGCGCCCAACTCCTGCCCAGCGTGAACAAACATAGGGGAACAAAAAGTGACATAAACATAAAAACTCGGAGGTCCGCGCGGACCTCCGAATTTTTTATGTTTATGTCACTTTTCGCTCTCCTAAAACAGCTGCCCCCCAGGGATGGGTTCGGGGCCTCTTGGGAGCCACGCTGTGCCCTCGGCGCCACCCCAGCTTGCGAATATACTGTGTGCGCGCCGTCCCCCCAGCAGGGGCGACGCGCGCTCTCCGAGAAGCCTTAGACTAGTATCCTCTGCTCGGTGGCGGGCGCTTTCTGGCCACACCACACGGGGAACGATATGCTACAAGATGGTTCACCACATGTCCGGCTCGGGCGCACGCCTCCAAGGAGGACGTCTAGTACTACAGTGTGTCCCTGTGCGCCCCGCGGAAGCCACGACGTCGGAAGGCTCGAGATGGTCGAGCACTGCAGCCACAGACCCCCGATGCCGTGATTTTTGTCGCAGCGCCGACCCCCAGAGGTCTGGACCCCTTCCCCAGGACAGGCTCCTCGGCCCGAATCCTTCTGCTGACGGTTCCGAGGCCCGGCAAGAGCCCCCGGAGGCCGAACAGGACGAGACATACCTCCCGTCGTGATCTGCTCACGGCGCGAGGGGGCCAGGGACCGCTCTCCTCGCCCTCCGCAGCCGCCCCGCCTCCAGGACAGAGCGCGACTGGGAGGGGGGGGAGGGGGAGGAGGGCCGTCGCGGGGCGGCGCCCGGGCCCCGGCCCCGGCCGGGGCGCGGAGGCGAGAGCGGCCATGTCCAAGGCGGCGTGGGAGGTGGGCCCCGGCGGGGGCGAGGCGCAGGCGCTGCTGGAGGAGACGCCGTCGATGAGGACGGCATCGAGGATGCAAGAACCCCCGACCCCGACAGCACAGTGAGTCGGAGGAGGAAGCGGTACCCATAACCGCTACCTCTTCCTCGTTTTCCTATTTTTGGACCTCGTGGGAGGCCCTCGTCGCCACCGCTGGCTTCGTCTCGAAATTCTGGTCAGAGCGCAACTCTGGAGAGGTCCAGGGAGCAGCGGTATCGGTATCTTTGGTTTCCCCAATCGAGGACACAAGAACCCCTGACTCTAACAACATATTGAAGACGTGGCCTCACTGAGGTCCCCGTCTTAACATTAGGGATAATAGATCTGGGCGGTTTGGTTTGATACATTTGCAGAAAGGATCCCCTATACCTGATGTTTTGTCCTCCTAAATTAATTCGCCTCCCAAAGATTTGGGGTCTTTTTATTGCTACTCAGGATGGGCCGAGCGAAGACGGATGAGCTGGACGAGGGGCTCGTCTTCCCCACACTCCTGCGGGATGCGTGCAGGAGAGACCCCTCGTTATGCGCCATGATAGTGGAGCGTATGAAGGCACCGCCGTTGCTGCTGTGCGGGGCGGCGATCTGGATCATGGCGTTCACCTTCGTGTACGTGGTGGAGTGGGCACTCGTCTTAAACCCGTTCAACGAGGAGTACTTTTACCGGTACCCCAGCGGACTTGGCTACATCTCGTCCACGTTTTCGGACCTGAGCCACAGACATTCGTCCGTGCAGGCGAGTGTTTTCCAAAATTTCGGCATGGTCTCTGCGATCTCGATCCAGACAAGTTGGTACACAGAACTGCTTCGGAACGTACACACGCAACAGCAGCGAGTGCGGTTCCTGGGCGTGCGCTGGTCGTGGTTCCGATTCATTGTTCCAACCATGGGAATGATTTTGATTTCCGGCGTCCCCACGGTCCCAACGATCGTGTGGATGGTTTCGCCTGGCAAGTGTTTGCTCACACGTGTCCTTGTCAATGGCCTGGGCTGCTGGTCTGTTTTTCTCAGCTACACGTTCTCGGAGCTGCACTGCCTGGGCTACTGCGAATTCCTAACGGTTCAGGACGATTCTGCCGGGAGTTTGCCTCATCTGTCCGCCGCTGAGAGGAAGTGGCGGTTGTGGTCCGTCTCTGGTGCCGTGCTCTGCTGTATACTCTTCCTCCTCGTCCAGGTTGTGCTCTTTCTGGTCCAGCAGTGGTGTCCTGGAGATCAGGGCTTCAAGCATAACCACATCTATTACATACCTCCCTCGTCCGCCACGTCTTCCCCTCTTCTACCTTGCACCGCCGCCCCCGCCTTCCATCTCTACGCCGCCTCTCTCCTTCGCCACCGTCGCAAACCGTGCTCCAAGGATCCCTTCATTTTTCTTCCATGCCACCGTCTCCCCTCCTCCCACCCCTCAGCCCCCCCTCCCCGCTCACCTTCCAGGGGCCCTGAAGATGAGAGCCCAAGCGTGCGGATCACGGATAGGGGTGCGGCAGAAGTGTAACGGACCGCCCTCAGAAACCAGGAAGCCGGTGTCGATCTCGCGTCGTGCCGCGCGTGCAGGCGGGGCGGAGCTGCGCAGGTGCGGAAGGGACCTCTCTCGGGTTCGGGCCGTGGTGCATCAGTTCCCCCCCCTCTCCGCCTGGCGCGGGAGGCCGGGGCATGCCCCGATATAGCTACCAGAACCGCGCGCACGCGCACCGGGTTCTATCAAGCTCCACCCCTTGGCAAGCTCGCAGCTGCATGCACACAGTGCACAGTCGCACGCAGAAAGGGGACAGAAGTTGAGGAAGCAGCAAGAACGCGGACCGAGCAGAGGCGTGCCATTGCCAAGGGTACTGCGATGCAAATTCAGTTCAAGGCAGTGCAAGCGTGTGCGATGCTCTGCGTATAGCGCACTGAAGTGGCAGCACAACACATAACGGTATCTCGCAAATCAATTGCAACAGCGAACCGCGGCCAGCTGACGCGGCAACTACGCGCGCCCCGCGTGTTGACCAGGAACGGCCATGGCGACCCAGACCCCCGCACGCATAAAGCAAGCACATCACAGGCATGAGCCCTGCGTTCGGACGCCCATCGGCGCTCCGAAGGTTTGTTCTCTTTCGCGAAGCACGGCGCCATGCGGATGCAGCGCAGCCGCAGGACTGCAAGCGCTGTGCCATTAGTTCAGGGCCCTCGCGGACCTTGCCCGAAAGCGCCTTCTGGTGCGAACGCTGACAGCTCTGGCGTGCGCTTGGGACAGCCGGGGGCAGAGTCAGGGGCTTGGCATCGCTCCGACGTGTGCATTTTGTACCGGCGAGGACCATCGAGGAGCATCCTGGATCACCGCGCAACAAGAACGCACGACATCGAAAACACATACGGGGAATGGACGTCCGAGCGGTAGCAAGGGGCTCCTGTGTGCTGGCGGGGGCTACCCACGGCAAAGGGGAGGGCGGGGGAGGGAGGGATGGAGGGAGGCGCTGCCCCGTGCGGCTCGCATCGGGTGGCGCGGTGGGCTCCTGGTCCTTCGCCACCGACCTGGCATCGCTTGGAAGTGTGCCTTTTTTTTCTCCGCGAGAACCATCGAGGATCATCCTGGACCATCGAGCAAAAAGAACACGCACGAAACCGAAACGTACACGGGAAATGGACGTCCGAGCGACGGCAAGCCGAGCTTGGCATTGATGCTGCATCTCTCCATGACGTATTCGTTTCTTCGTTGCATGCTGCGTGTGTGGATGAGAGGACGTTGGCGAGTTCAGATCGCCCGGCCGTGTTCAGACGGGCGCTGGATTCAGCCGCGGAGCTGGAAACATCATCTCGTTGCGACTATTGCCCCGGTTCCGAGGCATGTTCATGAAAGTTCTACGCGGGCTGCCTTGGCACAGTCGCAGTTTCGTAAGCATACACATCGACGCCGTAGGAGGAGAGAAAAGGAAGGCAGCCGGGATGTAATTAAACTGTTGTTTGCCATGCTTGTTTCTTATATGTGATTATTACCTTCCCCTTGGAGACTGCCGATTCTTGAATGCTTCCCTGTGCAGTCTCAGTTTAATATGTTCAATATGTGCGTTCATGTTTTCCTGCTTTCTCATCGCGTCTGGATGTTATCAATGTTGCTTCGCTTCCTCTTCTTGGGGATTGGTTTACATAAGACCGTGTGCCAAAAGTTCTTTGTTGTTGTTTTTATCCTGGCTGCCCGTCCTCGAGGTGGACCTTCATTTCCAGATCCATGTCTGCAGAGCTGGGAAAGGAGGAGAACAAGTGTGAGGATGTAAGGAGGATGGTCGGCAGGAGAGGAGGAAAGGAGGACGAGGAAGATCAATGGAGGAGGATAGTATGCATGACACCAAACGTGCGTATGCATGTATGTCTGATGGCACGGGGGCGACCATATGAGTATACATAGAGCTAGATGGCTACGAACGTAGGTGTGCTACTCGATAGTTGCATCTGGCGCGATGCCACCGACAACCGAAACTTGGGCCCATTCCCGCAACCCTCCGATCATTCGATGTGTTGGCCTATAGGTCTGAACATGCTTCCGATTGCTCAGGAGTTGGCAAAGGCGGTCTCAACACGCTCCTCAATGAGCATTGTGACGAGTGGGCACCCGTGGGCGCCTACGTTGGTCTCAAGGAGAACGGTGTGTGGTCATTGGTTGAGCCTGACTTCGAAGGCAGGCGGGTCGAGATTCAGAATAGGCCAGAGGTGATCAACACAGCCTCTGGCGTGATTGCGTTGGTCAAAGCGGCCTCTCTCACCTTCGAGTACGTCGGCATGGTCATGTTTTGCCTCAACATCTTCGCAATCTGGTATTTCTGCGAGGAGAGGCACTTCCATCGCGAGTACCTCTGCGTCGACGGGCTCGACACCGAACCCGTGGAGCCATCAGCAAACGAGGCGTGCCTGAAGAGAACTAGGAGGCGAATTGTTGTATAACATTTATGTGTGTGCCGTCGGGGACGTCTGCCCCAAGGCGGCTGCAACGTCTATACCTCGACGTGTCATAGAGGTAAAGATTTCTGGGCGCCCCTGGCGCAGGCGTCCTCGACGGCGGAACACATTTGATTACACCGCTCATCGTCCGTTGGGAGGAGGAGGAGGAGGAGGAGGAGGAGGAGGAGGAGGAGGAGGAGGAGGAGGAGGAGGAGGAGGAGGAGGGAGGAGGAGGAGAAGAGGGATGAAGAGGGGGTGGAGGTGAATGGGGGAGGGGGAGGGGTGGGGGAGGGGAGGGGAAGGGGGAGAAGGATGGGCAGCAGCAGGGCAGGCCACGACCCGATCGGTTGACACCACGCGTGCCGATGTCTGCGTGCGGCGCCGGTCGATTCGATCAGGTGCCTGCGGTCGACTCCCTGTCACCACAGATGGGGTTCGACTCGGCCGAGTCGAAGCAGTACGCATCGAGGAGGAGAAAGTCGAACAAGCATCGGTTTTCGAGGGTCCGCGCAGATCTCTCGGGGGCGGCACTGGGCCCCCCACGGCGGCGCCTCCGGCGCCGTGTCTGGGTCGCGAGCCGCACGCTGGGGGCGGGAGTTCAGCGCCGATCCAAGAATTCTGCGCGGACCTCCGAATGTTTCATGTTTGTGACTCCTCGGAGGAAGAAGACCACCCGACTCCAGAGACATCGCAGAAGACCGAGGTCGAGCTTGTGCTGGAGCTGCCGGGGGAGCTCTGCGAGAAGGATATGCCAGCGGTTGCAGAAGACATCGCCAGCGAGATTGCCACGCGGACCTCCGAATGTTTGTGCTTCTTTTGCTCTTCTGGCTCGTTAGCACTGGTAAGCACGATCCCCTTGCACACCGACTCCGGGTGCTCAACAGCACAGTAGCCCCGACGGCGTTGCACGGACCAGTGGCGCGGATGCTCCTCGGACCCCAGATGGCAGCACCTGCGACGGGCACAGAGACGCATGCTTCGCAGGATCATCAGGACACCGCGACGACGCACAACGAACCCGGCTGATCTCGACAGCAGCCAGGGAGCTACGGCCTTCGACGGCACAAACACCGAAACCCCAGACAACGGCCACGTCGCCGTTTTTTATTACTTGTTTCGCCGATCGGCGCGGGCCCTCGCACCCCCCTCCCCCCCCATGGAGTAAATCTTGGCTGTTCTTGGCACCTGTTTCGAGCAGGTGGAGTCTCCCCCATTGGACGCACTGCTGCAAACAGTCGCGTTAAGCAGAGGTCCGGAGCCAGGACTCCCCCCCCCTTCCGCCCAATGTCGGAATGAGAAAACGTTCACCAGCTTGCCACTGGAGCGCGATGCACTTGCTACGCCTGACTGGCACAGTAGGGGCGACGCAGACAGTGGCAGCGCAGATCCGATGGAACCTAGGATCGAATACTTTCAGCGCGCCACACGACGCGCAGAATACTTCATGAGGCTCCATTGCTGCAGCGGCCGCTGCCACGTCCAGAATTTGCATGCGTAATTTGCCCGCCCCGCTCCTTCTGCGTTTTAGTGTTCAGCGGTGGGCGTGAAGGGGCGGGGTCTTTGGCGTCTCCCCCCAGTCAGACCCTCTCGCCTTCATTGTTTTATAACGTGACGACATTGAACTGGCGGTCAAATCATTGGCTGCCAGATGCGCGTAATGTTGATAAGCTGAACTTTATGCGGCTCCATCGCATCGACAGCTGGGTGACGCTGCACAAGCGGAGAACGTGGCGAATGAACCGAGTCTCAGACCACGACCACAAAAAATTGGACATGACGAGCGTTGCACTGGCGACCAGACCGCAATCCACGTCAGCGCGGACAGAGACAGCACGGTGGCCAGCACAAGCGCGGGGACGACGAAGTCAGCACATACTTACGTCACCGCAGGCCTGATCTCCACCGACCGACCACAACAACCCGTCCGAAAAGACAGCCGAATGACGTCACACGGGTGCGCAAAGCCCAAGACACCGCCACCCGGACGACGCTCGAGCACCAGTACGCCGACCCCACGCGAGCAAGCATCCAAGACAAATACCGATAAGTCGAGACGACATACGCGCCTACACCGACAACATGGACTTTCTCCTCCTCCGCCTCCTCCTCCATTCCCCTCTCCTCCTTTCCTCTCCTCCTCCTCCTCTTCCTCCTCCTCCTCCCCTCCCCCAGGGCGGTGCTGGGTTCCCCCCCTGCGCTTGCCGCCTTGGGGCGGGACTGGCGGTCCGTCCCCCCGTCGTGTCGTGTCGTTTGTCGTCGTCGTCGTCGTCTCCGTCGTCGCCGTCGTCGTCTCCGTCGTCGCCGTCGTCGTCCTCGTCGTCGTCGTCGTCGTCGTGTGGCGGGCCGGGCCCCTGGGGTGGGTGGCGTGGGTTTGGCTTGGACTGGCCCCCCCCCCGTTCTGTCGGCTGCCGGGTGTTTCCGGCTGGGCCGTTTCCGGCCGACAGAACGTGGGGAGGGGAGTTGGCCAGCTATTCCCATGCTGCCCGCTTGCGGGGGGCCCGCTGGCGCCGTGCGCCACCCGCGCCGTGAACGCCCCGCGGCCGGCCGCGCGCCCGCGCGCGGGCGCCCGCCGGCCGCTGCGGCGCGCGGCTTTAGTGCTGCGCGCTCCCCCTTGTCGAGGGCGTTCCATTCCATTCCAGTCCTCCTCCTCCTCCATTTCCCTTTCCTCCTCCTCCTCCTCCTCCTCCTCCTCCATTTCCCTCCTCCTCCAGACGGGGGGGGAGGACCTGACCTCCCACCTGTATATCTGTCTCGCGTTGAATGTGTCCAGACATACCAGAATCCAGATGCCACGGCCTCACCCACCTGGTCTGCTTTAGGCTTTAGGCCCAGGCGCTTGTCCGCAGCGGTGGTCGTTCGTTCCTTCGTTCGTTGCTCATCATTTCAGGCTGCAATTGATTTGACCGATCGGCGAGTCAGGGGCAGTCCTTGGGCAGCCACGAGGAGAGGACGAGGAGGAGGAGGAGGGGGAGCAGGAGCAGGAGGAGGAGAGGGAGGGGGAGGAGGAGGAGGAGGAGGAGTTGGAGGAGGAGGAGGACGAGGAGGAGGAGGAGGAGGAGGAGGAGGAGGTGGAGGGGGACAGGAGCTACTTGTTGGGCAGCCGCTGGGCACGGATAGCTCGATGCTGTCCGGAGCTCGAAGCTCTCAGGGACGACTGCGGCGCCCAGAGGCCTCCGATGCCTCCAGAGGCCTTCTGCGGTGCTCTCTGAACTATTCGTCGGCTCTCGGGGGTTTTCTCGTCTCGGGATGCTTTGATGCAGCTGAGCCTCGTCGAGAGCGTTCCCGGGGGTGGGGGGTGGGGGGAGGCTGGACCTTCCTGATCGGCCGCCAGGGGCCCGAGTCGTGGCCCGAAGGCCAGACCCTGGTTCCAGAGGGCCTGAAAGGACGAGAGGCGCCCCAAAGCTGCGACCCTCGAGTCCACCTTGGATGTGTCGCGTCGCTGCGCCGCCATATGTCGCCCAGTGCCTGGCTCCTGCGGAGGGAGCTGCCCGGCCGCCCGCCTGAAGCACTGGTGTGGGGCGTGGCTTCATTGGACGGGGTGCAGGCGGTCTCCCTGTTCGTCCTCACTCTCAGGAGGGAAAAAAACACACAGACACAATTCATCGTCGACTCCCAGGAAGATATTGGAAAATATGGGAAGTGGGGGGGAAGACAAAAACCTAGAAAATATGGGAAAATGTAGGGAATCCTTTTATTTGTGTGTGTGTGTGTGTGTGTGCGTGTGGGTGTTTATTTCTGTGTCCCAAGGCCCCTCTACACTCCCCCTCTCCAGGGTGACTCCTGGAGAGGGGGAGGGAAGAAGGGGAGGGATACCATCTGGGGGCTCGAGCTTCCCCAGTGAGCTACCCGACTATCCGGATACTCCACGGGCGAAGCTGGATAGTCGACCCTTGAACCTCCACCTGGAGGTTGAGGGAGAGGACGAAGAGGAGGTAGTGGAGAAGGAGGAGGAGGAGGAGGGATGAGGCGCCCGATGCCGCCAGGCCCGGGAGCAGCTGGCAAGCAACTTTGGGCAGGAGGAGCTGGCGCAAATGCGCATAAGCCTGAGACCTAAGACTAGGCCGTAGGGTCCCGAAGCGGGCCTGACGCTGGCTTGGCTGGCGATGAGAGACCCGTGACTGCTTGCCGTGATGTGGCAGGGAAAAAGCTTTGGACGACGACGACGACCCAGATGTCTGGCGCCTCGAAAAGATCCAGGCGGCCCGTTGGTCGTCATTTTTGGTATCCGGAGACCTGCTTTGGGCCCCGGACTGCACAAAAGCGGCTGGGCGGGGCGAACAGTTGACCCCAGGGCGCAGGGGTCGAGGGGGCCAGCGTCCCGTGTCTCGAAGGAGCGCGTGGCCGAATCCCTTCGGGAGCCACGAGATGCCGATGGCTCGATGTCTTCGGTGTGCGGGGCCCCATGGCGTCCCGACCCCAGGGCCCATTTCGATCCGATCGACAGTCCAATTCGATACCACTCTCGGCCAATTCGATCAGATTCGGTTTCGATTTTCCAGTGGTCCGATACGGTCTCATGCTTGCGTGGCGCCGATCCGATTCGATGTCGATTCCGTGCCGACCCAGCCCGATCCGACTTAAAGTCCGATTTGATCCGATTTCCCGATTTGATGCTGCCTGGTCCTGGTCCCTTCCCCCGCAGGGCCTCCACAGGCCGAAGCGGACAGGAGCACGTGGAGGTTGGTTGGGGTTGGCAGCGGGAGATTGTCTTAGTTGTCTTTTGGCGAAAGGTGCAGGAAGTCATAGGCCATTCGTTGATGTCATCGCCTCTGCGGCTGCTTGGGCCAACGCGCTCAAGCGTCGAGGCTTCTCACAGGAATGTCCTGCAGTTGCGAGAAGAAGTACCTGATATTTGAGAACCATGTTCGCTTTCTCTCGCTCTGCCGCCCTGATTTGTCCAAGATGTCACAAGTCCGTTCGATTGGGCCCGCGGGAGCCCTCCAGGATCCTCTGGCGGCCGCACCCCTTCCGGAGACTCTACGGGCTGGCCGTGACGGTTGCCGCGTCTGTGGCGGGGACCAGGCGTGAGCCGGTGCGATCGGCTTGGGTACGGAAAGAATGGAGACGAGGACCGACAGCAGTCCTTGCCCATGTTGAAAAGGGCTCATTGTCGGCGTCGCCGCAGACGCTGTCCTCTGGAGACAAGCCGTCGCCTGCACAACAGCGGCCACTGTCGATTTTGGGCGTTCGCATGTTTTCCGTACCCACCGCGCGTGTGTCAAGTGAAGGAGCCAGCCATTTTTGCTGCGCTTCTCTCTCTCCTCCTCAGGCCCACTCGCGTCGTGGGGGGCACTGCAACTCAGAAACGAGAGGGGTACGTACCGATACCGCCACCCGTCCATCGTCGCCACGGATGGAGTAGCCTTTTAGGCTTTATCCTGGTCTCACCACCCACCAAACCACCCCAACCCAACCCGAAGGCTCAGATTTACCCTCGATTTCCAGTGGGGGGGGGTCGGGAAACGTCGAAAAAACACGTGTGGAACCCTTACCCCCCCCAACCCGAAATTCGGGTCTTCGGGTTGGGTTGGGGTGGTCTGGCAGGTGGTCATGGTCAGAGCCCAGCGCACGGGGCGCCCACGAGCGCCCACGCGGCGGCACGGTTTCGGCAGGAAGGTGCGGCCTCGGCCGACCCGCCCACCGCACAGGGAGGCCACTTGTGGCGCACGGGGCGCGGGCTCGGCCTCACGAGGTGGCTCGGGACGATGGCTTGGGAAGTCCTTGGCCGACCCGTGCAATTGCAGAAGTAACACGCGCAAGAACCCTTCAGAGCACGCGCTGTTTGGTCCGTTCAAGTGAGAGTCACAGGGCGCGTTGCGGCCCCAACCGTGGCCGACGCTGGGACAAAACACCATAACTCTATTGTTTCACCAAAAAGGAATACACACCTTTCGGTTGCGCGCATATCCTCGCGCTCCGCCAGAGGGAACATCCTGGACAGAAAGCGGGGAGCTCTCATACGCCCATGCGCGCAAGGGCACGGTGGCGGAACCTCAAATGAGGAAAGGATACTTGTACCGCCACCCTTCCCTCGTTTTCCCCTTTTTGGGCCTCCTGGGAGGCCCTCGCCGCCACCGCTGGATCCACCGCGAAGTCCTGGTCAGAACGCACCCCGGGACAGGCCTGTGGAGTAGCGGCCATCTGCAGATGGCCGCGCACGCCACCCACTGCACACTCACTGGCCCCGCGAGCGTGGTTGCAGGCCGCAGGCATGGACGCCTAGAGTCCCAGACCCCCGACGTCTCGATTTTCTCATGACGTCGGCCCCCGGTCGTTTTATGACTCTCCTGAGGCCTTGCGAGGGCCCCCAGGGGCCGGAGGCCGAAGATGGGGAGAAACCTCCCGTCTTTTGTCATGCCTCGAGGGGAGAGCATGCCACGCACGGGATGAAGTCAAGTGTTAGTAACAGATCAAGCTGTGATGCCTCTTTGGATTATGAGCAGGCCATGATGCCCACTCGTGCCCACCCCGTCCCGTCTTCAAGGACTTCGCAACCTCCTGTGATTAAGTCGGGCGTGTCCCTCTACAGGGAGACTATTTAAAAAATTGTCAAAACATAGTATGGTGACGATTATTTTGAGTATGTTTGTTCATTTATGTTGATTAGTTTTTCGTCCAAGATCCGCATCTAGAAGGACACGCCTGACCTAACCCTATGATGGTGGGATGGGAAGACGGGCCGCCCCCCCAGCACTGCATGTAATCTCTGTGCCAGGTCTGTCGATGTTTGGTTGCAGGCCGCAGGCATGGACGCCCGTAGCCCGCGCCAGGCTGCGCCACTCGAGGCCTCCCAGCTGGGGTCGGAGCAGATGGGGTCGCAGGGTCGCGCCGCATCGCCGATGCATCGCCGATGCGGCTCGATGTGGAACCCGCTTTTCTCCACGCCGATGGGGCGGATGCACCGCTGACGTCGCCGACGCATCGGCGATGAGGCTCGATCCGCCGGCCCCATCTACGCGGATCCCATCTAGGAAACGTCTAGCCATCGCAACAAATCACGACCAGACCCCCAGACCCTGTCTTTCTGTGTCCTTCGAGCCGGATCGATCTGTGAGGGTCCCAGGGCCCGAAATTGAGCGAAAAAACGCCCAGCTCGACAAAATGAGGTCGCCAGGATCCCCAGAGATCCGATGTCGTGATTTTTGTCCATGCGGGGTCCCAGGAAGTCCGGACCGATTCCCCAGGACGGTTTCTTCATCCTGAGCCGTTTTTGTTGACGGCCCCGGGCCCGGCGAGGGTTCCTGGAGGCCGACAACTGCGAACAATCTCCGAAGGACCAGTTCTTCATCCTGAGCCGCTTTTGTTGATGGTCCTGGGGCCCGGCGAGGGCTCTTGGAGGCCGATGTTTTTTTTGACTCCGGCAAGTTTACCTGCGCATGGACGGGGGGGGGCTTGAGCCTGAAGTAAGCCGCAAACGACTTGCACGTGCAGAAACCACGCAAGGCGAAAAGCACCTGCACGCCAGTATTCGTCCGAAGAGGGGGGAGGGGAAGGGGGGGAGGGGGGGAAGGGGCAAGGGGGGAAGGGGGGGGCCCATGATATGCAGGGAAACCTGCCCGAATGAACAAAAACAGGCTCACACCGAGAAACACCTCTTCGAAGCACGGGCTCTTCATCCCGAGGCCTTTTTTTTTGTGACGGCCCCGGGGCCCGGCGAAACTCCCGCGCTGCAGGCTCCGCCCGGGCTGCGCCGCCTGCGCCGCCCGGGCGGGGGACGGGGGGAGGACGAGGAGGAGGAGGAGGAGGAGGAGGAGGAGGAGGAGGAGGAGGAGGAGGAGGAGGAGAGGAGGAGAGGAGGAGGAGGAGGAGGAGGAGGAGGAGGAGGAGGAGGGGAGGAGGAGGAGGAGGAGGAGGAGGGAGGGAGTGGAGTGGAGTGGAGTGGAGTGGAGTGGACTCCGCTGCGCAGCAGGTTCGGGTCTTAGGAAGGCCTGGACAAACGAGCATTCGAACGCCGAGCTTGCTCAGCTCGGCTCAGAACTTTGGGATGTAACCCCCGAGCAATTCTGTCAAGGTACTCTTGCCCCGTGGCGGACTTCCTCTTACTACATGGGCCTTTAAGAGATCGCAGAGCCTTATCCGCGATGCCCCCACACTCAGTGCAAAACCAAACCTGAAGGGTCGGGTGAACATTCAGGGTATGCGTAGTGTGGGCCCAACCCCCCGCGATATGGACTCGCGGCCCCTTTAACGGCGAAAACAGGACCCCATCGACATTGTACAGCCTAGGACATTCAGATTCGACGAATTCCTGGGTGGTGGCGAGGGTCGCAGAACCAAAACAAGAGAGGCAACGTCGGCCGCAGTCGGCCAGACGGTGCCTGGACATGAGGGCAGCAACAGTGGCAGCAGCGGGAGGCGGAGGAGGAGGAGGGGCGGGAGGAGGCGGGACCTCAGAGGGGCTCCCAGGGCCTCGGGCGGCGTCCCTTTCCATTCTCTCGGTCTCCTGGCTGGCCGCAATGCTGTCCAGCGTGGCTCGGAGGAGCCTCATGCGGACGAGGTACGCCCTCCGCTCGGCCAGCAGGATGGGTTGGCGGACCTCGGCGGGCAGCCTGGCTCTGGCCGCTGCACAGCCCGCGAACTCGTCGGCGAGCAGGTTGCCTATGACGAGGTACCTGTTCACCTTCTGGGCGGCAACGTCCTGGGCCGTGCTGTGGGACGGCGTCCAGAGCACCGTCACCTCAGCGTGGCGGCGTGAGCTCATCAGGTCCCCGATGAGCTTCCATAGGTCGGCGTCCTCACCTGCTGGGTTCGTGTAGGCTTGGGAGTACCAGCCCGCCGCCACATATTCACAGTCCGTCACGTAGGTGAGGAACCTGGTGGTGCACCAGAGGGCGAGGTACAGGGAGTAGAGCTCTCCCCTCGCCACCACTTGGCGTGGGCCACCCAGCTGGCCGAAGACTGCACCGTGTAAGTTGATCTCGGGCAGTAGGCTGGCAACGCATACTATGGCGACTCCAATCCTCATGAAATCGCTGATGCTCGCATCTGGTCCTCCGCTGGCGTCCCCGAAGATCTCGACTGGTGACTCAGCACTCCCCGCCCCGAAGATCCCTTCGGACAGCTCGTT